AATCAAGTGAGATTGGCTAAGTGCCTTACCATAGGTAAAAAAGAGAGCAAGCAGCAATGCAGAAAAGACCCCATAGATTATTCTACATTTTTATAGCTTAAGTATGAGTCCCTTCTGAAGAAAGGACTTTAGTTTCATGTAAGGAAAGAATGTCAAGATTTATTTTCTTCCTACCAGTTCAGTATATAGCAGGCATTTAGCCTCCACGGTACACTCTGAAGGACTGATCAAATCTCACCGTCACACCCATCCCCCATGTGTCTGAAATTCCACTATTAGCAGTTCAGTCCTTTGGATCTGGTAGGATTTTGATTTTGAATGCACCATGGTCTTTTGTGGCCTAACCTGTATAATTGCTTTTGGCATTTGTGAATTTCTCTTTAATTTCTCTTCTGTATAGAACTTTGCACGTGTTTGAATTAGCACTTAAATGATCAATTAAGGTAGAGTGCAAACATGATTTTAAAAATTAGTTATGAAAGTACAGGGAAAGGTCTTAGATTTTGAATAGAAAATAAGCTAACGTGCAAGGTCATGATATCTATCCCTCCCATTTCAAAGATATGAAACTATTCCATTTTTAATTACATAACCTTCAGGAAATAATCTAGACATCCTATTTTGATACCTAAACCAATGATCAACAGCCATCACAGACAGGCAATTTCTCATCTAAAGGATAAGAAGTTTTCATTTGGAAGCCTAAGTCTACATCTCTTCAGTACAATTTAAACATTGTGAGCATTCACTAAGGACCAGCCACTATGCTAGGCACATCAGAGAACATAAGATCAGACATGGGCCCTGCCCTCAAGGGAACCCGCATCTTCTGAAGGAGAGAGATACAAATTCAAGCAGTTCTAGAGCCGGGCAGACTGTGACAAACGCATCAGGAGAAGTATAAACAAAATATTAGTAATTAGTAGAGAAGGTCAGAGATACATATCACCTTAAAATTGGGGCAGTGGAAAGATCTTTTAGAAAAGGTGAAATCTGCTGAAAAATCTAGTTTGTGCCAAAACAAGACAGGAATAAATAAGACAATGCCTGCATTTATGAAAACTCTCAGGCTATCAGAACAGGCCTTGAAAGTACTACAGCAGACCAACATGGGAGAGTGATGGTGTGAACAAATTACAGTACCATGGAAGAGAAGAATGTGGAAGGTTTGCCTTTCTACAAGGGTTGGGGAGGGGTCTGCCTTGAAATGGAAGTAAGTTTTGTAAGGTCGGGTCGGATCTTAACAAACGGCACCGCGAAACAGAGGAAAGCTACAAGTGAGCTTTATTAGGGAGCGCTCCCGGGCGAGGTTCACTGGTCCGAGAGAAAGGGGCCAGAGAAGTCGCACCCAGGGCGAGGGTTGGGCAAGATTTTATAGGGTAAGAAGGGAAGGGGGTGTGGTGAATCTGGGAGGGCGCAGGGTATTCCTTATTTGGTGGTCTTTTCGGGTATCCTGGGGGACCGTTAGTCCCGCCCCTCGAAAGGCGGGAAGGCTGGGCTGGGTTCAAAGTCCCCAGGTCAGTTCCTGGAACTGGGTAGTCCAGAATGTCTCCAGGTCAGTTTCTGGAACTGGGTGGTCCGGAGAATTTCGGACTGATGCAACCTGTGAATCTGATTGTGTTCCCCTGCCTCGGGCCAGTTGGCCTTACAAGTTTCACGAGCTAATGAAGGGGAATGAAGGACATTCCAGGCAGCAGAGTATCACATATTTGAGGAACGGCTCTATAATAAGGGTATAAGTTTCACAAGGGTAGATGAGAACGGGGATTTCAAAGACAAGGGGATAAACAGCAGTTCATTATTGTCTACAAAAGAACGCTTTGTAATTGGAAGACAACTGTTGACTCAAATTTGAATTTTGTTCTTCCTGGATTTTATTTTCTAATTCTTTCATTGCTGCCCTGGCTGAGTTCTCTCATGTTCCATAAATTCATCTTGAGGTTGAAATTCACATTTCCCTCTATACTAAGAGCCTGGCCACTCATGGCCTCCCAAATTCAATACACAATATATATATCAGTATATTTCAAGTCTATTCTCTACTTGACAAAGGCAGAGGGACTTCTCTGTCTACAAAGGTCATATGGTTTTACCTTGCACAAGTAGGTAATTAGTCTATCTCTTCTATTTTTAACGCATTCTTACCATTGTTCTAAATAGCCCAGACTGGAGCATGTCCCCGCAGGCCACCACCACAGTTTGTGTTATCAGGCCAAGTTATAAGATAATCACCATAGCACTTCTGTTGAAACTTTTCTCCTTCCTCCCCACAATTCCTCAGAATGGGTACTCATTGTTTCTTACTCATTGTTTCTTTCAGGTTTTGTTTTGTTATTTTAAGTGCTTGTGTTTTGCCCTTGCTCAAGAAAGCATCTGCTCCATAAGCTATTCATCAGAAACCTGTGGTTCAAGAAGTTGCAAAGACCTTCCCCGGATTACTGTTATCTCCCTTCTACATGAGGGTCAGTTTCCCCCAGGAGGCACCAAGTTACCGTTTCTGGCCTCTGGCCCACCAGGTAGTAACACCTCTGCTTGGAGGCCAGGAAGAGCTGGCAGTACCTAGGATTAGGCAATAAGTAGTTTCCACAACCGGCACTCTGAAAGCAATGCAATTACTTGCTATTTATCCTTGCCTTTACCGTAATGCTGTTTTAACTGTACATGGTTCTAGCTTATGGCTACTTTCCAAGAAAGTCACTGTCTTGCTTGTCCATTTATTTATTCACTTAACAAATCCTGAGACCACAAAAAAGAAAGATATAAAGAGAACAGATATAACACCATTTAGTGGGGGAAACATGCAATATCAATACATATATAAATATATAATATAATGATATGTAATAACTATATATCATGTTAGGCGGCAAATGCACCAATGGAAAAATAAGCAGGATAAACAGACCGAGAGTAATGGGAAGTGTTATTTTAGATAGCGTGACCAAGGAAGGCCTCTCTAACGTGGTGATATGTGGGCAGAAACCTGAATGAAGTGAACAGGATGAATATCCAGGGAAAGAGCACCACAGGCAGAGAGAACTCCATGCGCCAGGGCCATGAGGTGGAGCATGAATGTGTGATCCAAGAACAGCAGGGAGTCAATGGAATTGGAGTATGAAGAGCAAGTGGAAGGACATGAGGTCAGAGACTGGCCAGGAGCCAAATCCTGAAGGGCCTGTAGGCTTTGGGAACAAATTTGCGTTTTACGCTGTGTGATGAGAAGGCAGTGCCCACCCCACATCCCCCCGGGTCTGAGGGAGATACAGGAATCACAGTGACTGCAAAGTCTAGACGTGCCATTTACTACGACAGGGAAAAGCAGGAAGGGCCTGAGGTGGGGAAGGAAATGAAGATCGGTGAGTGCCTATTCCACATTACGGGGTGATTATTGGCTCTTTATACACTTGAATCTTCGGAGTTTTCTTCCCAAATCTGCATGTACAATCACCTTCCAATTATTTTGGTCAAGGGAGGCAAGTAACAAGAAGGACAATGGAAAACTTATTTACATTTTATGCAGAGCTGATTTCTGACACCATTTTGAAGTAGGCAAAGTTTATGAAGTTTCCCAGCCTTTGAGTTCATCTCTTCCACACCCCACCCCAAACTTCCTGCTCCACATTGCCCCAGATTTCTTCTAAAGACATGTAGTATCCTCGTTTTCTGTTGTGTGTGTGTGTGTCTGTGTGTGTCTGTGTGTGTGTGTGTGTGTGTATGTTTCTGTCTCTTTCCACCTCTCTTTCTTTCTGCCCCCACTCATCACCACCCATGTGACTATGGAAAGGATCAGGTATCAGTCATTTACATCTTAGGATGAATTGAACCCCACATATATCTCCCTGCAGTATTTGCCCTTTATACCTTGTCTCTAATTATATGCTGAATATTCCCCTTAAGGGAATGTCTATTTAATTCTCCTCTTAAAAAGCACTGATATGTTTAGACACCTACAGATTTCACCTAGATGTAAGACAGGATATAAAAATAAGAGTGATCCAACACAGTATATACCAGGGATGCTTCTTAAATGCCCTCTACTTCCCCAAGAAAGAAGGCAAAAAGGTTTAAAAATAAAGCAGTCTACTGGGTAAAGAACACTTATCTCTTAACTACTGCTATGATGAATGTAATGTGTAAATAACAAAATATTGTCTGAAGTGTTGGGATGAAGGTTAATTGTCCAAACTGATCATCAGAACAAATGCCCCTAAGGCAAGTACCTGGAACAGACCGGTAAAGCCAGGAGCTACCAGGGATCCAGGAACATGACTCCAGGGAGCAACAGATCTGGAAAGAGTGCAAAAATATCAGAAAGGATTTCTAAGAGGAGAAGCCACGAACACCACAGCTGTGGTTAGTTTTTCAGTTTCATGTTCATATATGTGGGCACAGTGTCTTAAATGCCCCAGGGCCAAGGGAAGATCAATACCCATTGCTAAATCATATTTACCTTAAGTTAAATGCTTCTAAAAGAGTAAGTTCTTTGAATTCTAACTTTATGGCTGATTTTTTCATCAAATTATTCATAAATATAATTAAAAAATGAAAGAACTATAGGTAGAATACTATTAATTTTTTGTTTCATTGAAGTATAGTCGATTTACAATGTTGTGTTAGTTTCAGGTGTACATCAGAGTGATTCAGATATATATAGATATATATAGATATATATAGATATATATATATATTCTTTTTCAGTTTCTTTTCCCTTATAGGTTATTATAAAATATTGAGTATAGTACCCTGTGCTATACAGCAGGTCCTTGTTTTTCATCTATTTTATGTATAGTAGTGTGTTTATGTTAATCCCAACCTCCTAATTTATCCCTCCCCACAGAATACTATTAATTTTTATCTGTACCTATTAGTTGATACTCCTTTCAATATTACTATCCTGTTACCTTTTAGGTGAAAGTGAATAGGCCTGGGCCAAGCAGGCGGAGACAGGCGACCTGCTGGCTGGGGAGGTGCAAGCCAGGCTGCAGCGCTCCTGCCTGGCCATGGCAGCATCACCCCTGAAAGTGTGCATCGTGGGCTCAGGGAACTGGGGCTCAGCTGTTGCAAAAATAATTGGTAATAATGTCAAGAAACTTGAGAAGTTTGCCTCCATGGTCAAGATGTGGGTCTTTGAAGAAACAGTTAATGGGAGAAAACTGACAGACATCATAAATAATGACCATGAAAATGTAAAATACCTCCCTGGACACAAGCTGCCAGAAAATGTGGTTGCTATCCCGAACCTCAGTGAGACTGTGTGGGATGCAGACCTGCTGGTGTTTGTCTTCCCCCACCAGTTCATTCACAGGATCTGTGACGAGATCTCTGGGAAAGTGCCCAAGGGCGCGCTGGGCATCAGCCTCATCAAGGGCATAGAGGAGGGTCCCGAGGGGTTGAAGCTCATTTCCGACATCATCCGAGAGAAGATGGGCATTGACATCAGTGTGCTCATGGGAGCCAACACTGCCAATGAGGTGGCTGCTGGGAAGTTCTGTGAGACCACCATCGGCAGCAAGGTAACAGAGAATGGCCTTCTCTTCAAAGAACTTCTGCAGACTCCAAATTTTCGAATTACGGTGGTTGATGATGCAGACACTGTTGAACTTTGTGGTGCCCTGAAGAACATTGTGGCTGTGGGAGCTGGGTTCTGCGACGGCCTCCGCTGGGGCGACAACACCAAAGCTGCCGTCATCCGCCTGGGGCTCATGGAAATGATCGCCTTCACCAGGATCTTCTGCAAGGGCCAGGTGTCCATGGCCACCTTTCTGGAGAGCTGCGGCATAGCCGACCTGATCACCACCTGCTATGGGGGTCGGAACCGCAAGGTAGCAGAGGCCTTTGCCAGGGCCGGAAGGACCATTGAAGAATTGGAGAGGGAGATGCTGAATGGGCAGAAGCTGCAAGGACCTCAGACTTCCGCTGAGGTGTACCGCATCCTCAAACAGAAGGGGCTGCTGGACAAGTTTCCACTGTGCACTGCAGTGTACCAGATCTGCTACGAAGGTAGGCCCGTTCAGGAGATGTTGTCTTGTCTCCAGAGCCATCCGGAGCATATATAAAGTGAATTATGCAACATGTCAGGGAAAGGCCTGCCCTTCCGATCAATCATTTGGATTCAGTGGAAACTGGGACTTGCCAACAAGATGTTTGCAGCATCATAACCCCATCATGGATACTATGAATTTTTACACGTTCATTTTTGAATTGTGAGATGAAGTTCATTGGCTAAGATGTTACTGGGCAACAACTAGATGCACATATGTGAACGTGTGAGCGTGTGTTCCTTTCTCATTTTGTGGATGTTGCTATCAACCAAAATTAAAGGCCCTTTTTAAAACTTACTTTTGAAATTTTCCCACTGTGGTAGCTTATAAGATTGGAACTATCGCAGCTAAAAGTTTTGGATCTAATTCATATGTATCTCAGTGAAGGTATTTTTTTTCTCATTCTCTTGAGGTTAAAATTTAACCAGCATTAACATGGTAGAGTGGCAGAGTGAGTGGGTTCAAAGATCAATATACTGTAACTTCTAAATACTATCTCAGAGCCAGCATAATTAACTACTTCGATCGTGGGTTGATTTATTATTTTAAACAATTACATATTTTTAATAGGTAATCCACTTATATATATTCCTCTTACTACAGTTTTCTGCATTTTTAGCCTCTTTTCTCTTCATTAGCTACCAGAATGTACTTTCATAAAGGCTCAGCAGTAGCAGAAGACAGAAAACTCATCTGGGATTTTCCTGCTGTGACTGAAACATTCTTCTGATTAATGACACTTGTATGATGCTTTTTGTCAGGTAGTACTTTTGTGCAAACATTTCCTTTGAGCCTCACAGATCCCCTGAAAGGGGGCCGCTATTAATCATCATTTAAGATGCAGTCACTATGCCTGGTTGCCTGGTGAGTAGGGGCAGAGCCAGAGTCAAGCCCAGTGGTCCTCCCCCTACCAAGGTGCCAGGACCTGCTCAGACATCACTGGGCTGGTTTGACCTCCTACTAATTGGCTGTAGAATACACAGCCTTTACTGAGGCCATAGTCGGGCTTCCTGCAGCTGAGGTTTGTGTGGGTCCTTATCTAGAAGGATACCATTCAAAGTGTGGACCTCTCTCCATCAGCTTCACCTGGAGTCTCTTAGAAATGCATGTTCCCAGGTCCCAATCCAGACCTCTGAAGTGGGATCTTGTATCTATGCTTTGACATGTCTTCTGTGTGTTCATTACAATTTGAGAACCACTACTTTAGAAAATTTACTTTAGATTGACATTGGCATTTCTCAAACCATGTTCCATAGGAAATGAGTGTCCTGGGACCCAGTGGTGGTTCCGGTGTTCCCTCCAAAGGTCCAGTGAGTTTGGGAAAAGCTGCATCTGTACACCCCTCTTGAAGGGGTAGAATGTATGTTAGTTTGTTAGTGGAACCTGTTTATTTAACCCAGCAAGTCCCAGACATATAAGATTATGGAGATTTCTTTTGGCAAGAAAACTTACCAAAGTTTCCAAGGTACACTGTTCCTGGCTGAGGTGACCTTAGGACAGCTCAAGTATATGTACGAGTAAGTGAATGTCAACTTCACCGAAACACATGTTGTGTGGACTAAGTGCTTTTAAATCTAGAATTAGAATGGGAATTACTGTATCTCTTAAATGAAATTGGCTTCAGGATAACATTACAGTTACCTTACATAGCACTCGATAAATATTAAGGGAACCTATGAATATCACTTATATATTCATGGATTTTCAGTCACTTTGAGATTTTGATCCTTTTTTATTTTCCAGCTTGGGACTTTCTTCTTCTATACTTGAAATGATTTTTGAATAGATTTTGCAGGAGTTTTTTTAAACTCCTGTATACAGAAGTATGTGAAAGCACACAAAATCATACAAGTTTCATTGATTTTACTGCCACTGTTAAGTCAATTTTTGCTTGTCTCATAATTAATCTTTTAAAAAGTTTGTACATAGGTGCGGCGAGCCGCCTCCGACCAGCAGAATGACGAGTCGCCACACGCAAGATTCTTCTCGTATCACACTTTATTGGAGCACAGCTTGGTTAAAGAAAAGATGGAAGGAAGACACCGCAATCCTACAGCAGTCTGCTTATATAGGGATTAAGAACATGTGTCGCTCTGTGATTGGCTTTCGCCGATGGTGCGACTTGTGAGCCAGCATCGGATAGGTCGCTACTTTAAAACCTCATTAGTATACTTAGCGCAAGCGCAGTGGCCACAGGAAGGATGATTCAGCTTACTTCAGCTTCCTGCTGCGTGGCAGTTAGCTGACCGCGCCCTACACATAGGTAACAAAGTGTTACTTTTTAAGATACATAACAGGCTGTAAATTAATTGTGGTGTCTATTAAGTAGGATAATCAGATATGAGGAATTAGGATTTTGTCTTTTGTATATTCTCATCTGCATTCAGCTTCCTACTCTGGGTTTTGTACTTGAGCGTTTTTTCTTTATAAACGCCTTATTACCACTCTGAAGTCTCTGACTGTACCACTTGAACATACTTATAATATTCCGCTCATATGGAAAAAGGTAAATTTTATGTTTGTGCTTTGCTAACTGTAGATGTTTATTACTCTACAAGTTATCTATTTTTATAACTACCTGTGGTCCACCATTTATTTTAATTCATCTTTCTTACTAATTATGGTAATACGGAAGAGAGAGACATCTAGAAAAGAAGCTTAATTTTTACTTTTTCAGCCAATCTGTGAATGTAAAAACTACACTGTTGCCTTGCCATAATCCAACCTACTATAATGTGAAACAAATATCTGCCTTGAAATCCATCATAGCAGGTGGAATTGAGCTAAACTCCTTCTGGTTTTTCATTTAACTCACCTAGAACATGGCCCCATGGCATTGGCCCAAGGAGCAGTGAGGTACCACTGTACAAAGGAATCTTCAGTTTTTCCACTAGTGCTAATCTAAGAGACTTTTACCTACACATGTACTATATTTGTTTACAGATTATAGGTCGATATGATTTAAAAGTCTGATTTAATAAACATTTAATCCCCCAAACCTATGCTACTGATCCTATTTTTTAATCAGCTTATTTAACAATTTTATTTGTTTAGGTAAGCTTTTTTTTTTTTTCTCCCTGAACTGGGTTTCATTGACAACAATAAAAAGGCAATTAAAAAAAAAGTGAATGGGTCTTTCCCCCGTTTTCTTGATTTTCATGTACCCCTGGACTCTAGTAAATGAATTAGTAAATGGATATTTCTTTTCTTTTTCTAAGAGGAATATATGTGGGCACAGATTAAAATGTGTTCTAACAGAAAATCAATCCCACTAATGACATCTGACTTAGTATTGGAAGAATAAAAGAACTATAAACAAAGAAATCCCCAATGAGGTATTTACATCTTCTAAAAAAAAACAAGCAGAAAATACTTTTAAAGTTGCTGAAATTAACTTGTTACCCTCAACCCAAAGAAAACCTGTTTGGTTAGGTCACCAAACCTGAGCAGAAAATATATCCACACAACTGCATTACAGCAGCCAATATGGCTGCCAGGGCCAGGCTGAAGTACAAAGCCAACACTGAATAAATAATATCAAAACCATGACAACTAACAATGCTCTATTCCTACCTAACTCTCAAAGCCAAGGTGACTTCACCAAAGGATAATCTTATGACCTGCATTTTTTGTACAGTTTCAGAAATAGGTATGTCCTAAAACGCCTAAAACCTCTGACTAGAGAATGACATCATGGGAATGTGCTATATATATATATACATATATATGCATATGTACACACACACTAAATACATATATATATTCTATAAATATATTCCACAAACATCTAGAAATATATATATAGTGTGTGTATAATATAATGTATGTATATATACAATGTGTGTGCATACATGTATTTACTTTTTACCATTTTATCTCTCATTTTAAAAGGGTATGTTTCTTTTGATCTGGGACAAAATAAGGTTATAAACCTGATCATGTTGTAGTTTTGCCTTGCATATCAGATAACTTAGAGAAAAAATTAATTCTTTTTTTTTTGAAAAAATTAATTCTTAATTACATCTAGTGTTCTTAACCTACGTTTTTAATCAAATTTTCTCTCCCTCAAATTTCCCCATCCTCATTATTTAGATCTTGGTTTATTAACCTAATTCTACTGATTGTTTTGCTAATGTGCCTATTTTTAAAAACTTCATATCTTTTGTGTTTGTAAGTATAGTATATATAAAGAGAGAGAGAGATAATATGAGATATATGAGATAATATAAGTATACTTATATGTATATATCATAAAAATAAGATAATAGCTATTATTGACTTACACTTTGTACTGAAAGTACTCTGCTCTTTCTCAAGTGAAATCTGAGAGTGGGCTTTGATATGGAAGAAGGGATTTGAGGTACAGGAAACAAAAAAGCCAGCACCTAGATGGAGGTAGCAGGTGCTGAAAGCACTCTTCTTTGTCATGTTAATCACCAGTCAGCTTTGTCCAGGGAAGAACTCTGGTTCTGAGGAGGCTCAGGTGGGTAGAGAAGAAGCTAAAGGAGAGTAGGTCCTTAGTAGTCAGGCGATTGCCAAATGGGAGCTGAAAATTCAATTGCCCCTAATTGTTCTAGAGCAGGTTCTGGAGCAAATTCTAACTCAAGAGCCACTGAAGAAAGAACAGAAGCCCTGCACTGGCTCTAGAACTTCTTTGTCTCTTGGAGCTACAACAGTGGAAAGGATAATGGATCAGCCTCTGTGGCTAAAAGAAAAGCAGTCACACTGAGTTTTACTCCACAGTGGGGTAGAGTTAGATAGAAAATTCCTCACCGAATGGAACTTTCCACTCTTTATTATCTCAAAAGAATTTTCTTGCCAATAGATAAAATATATTTCACATTGTTTAATAGAGGAGATCAACTCAATTATAACCACTCAACTCAGACCACATCCAAAACACCTTGCTAAGCCACTGCAATTAATGATTGATCTCAACCAATTTCCTGGTTCTAATTATAGTTGGCCAAGCCTTGGTGACACTCGGGATCTTCAAGACCGTGAGCTGAGAAAAA